CCAGGCCTAAAACATAATTATTAGAAAGTATGGTAGGTAGGAAATCTTTGAGATTATAGTGTGTAGGAGAGGGGGAGAGTTAGATTTCTCTTCCCAAAAGTAGTGGTCTTGTAATTCACAAGTTGCAAATGTCCTACCGAGGATGAAGCCAATATTTTTCCTTTATGGGCATCTCTGCAGCTGTACTGTGCAACCAGACTCCTCTCCCCCACTTACTTTTTAATTTTATTTATTTATATTTCATATTTGTCACTGCCCATCTCACTGTGGGGTAACTCTGGACAGTTTACAGTAAAAATAGAATAAACGATTTCCTGCAGATTAACCAAGTCCAAGGATGAAATTGAAATCTATCTCTCTGCTGCTTAGAAAAATCAGCTAAGCTAAAGAGGAAAATAGGGTTGCTGTGTTGAAGAAAGGTCAAAGAAGATGGCGCAGTTGACTACATCTGGTCTGGTAGCCTCTGGTCCCACACACACACACAACCTTCAACAAACAAATGCTGAATAATAATCATCTTCATATGCAGTTCAGAGGTGTTTGATGTTTTTCAGTCAAATGAAGCTATTTGTAACCAAGCACATTTATTTTGGAGCAGAAATACTGAGACAAGTTGATACATTGTAAAACTTCATCTAAGGGAGCATTCAGTATGGCTTCACCTAAAGTTTCTGCATATGCTCATAACAAGGGCTTTACATATTTCTACATCAAATGTGGTTAGTATATTTCTCTGTATAATTTTAGATTTTGTTTGCTTCTTAAGAAAGCAATTCCTAGCACTTATTTTTGCAGTCAAAACCTTGAGTAGCAGATTTACTTCTGTCTCAAACCAGAGGAAAAGATATTTTGTACTACTCATTTCTTTTTTCTTCCTTCTTTCATCTACATACGCTTTTCAGTTTCTACTAAATGAAATGTTTACCTTTTCCAGTCTTCACTGGACAATTCAAAATCTTCTAAAATCCCAGAACAGGAGAAAAAATAAGCTGGAACTGTAACTCTAACATAATGCAGTTTAACCCACTCATAGGATTTAGATTATTTTGTGCGGCCAAGTACGCACAGCCCAACAGTACTTTGCGAATAATGTTTTTTATTGTATAAAATAATTTTCCCACAAATGTGAATTGGAGGACAATATCAAGAGGCTACACTTAAAACATTACAGCCAAGTGCTTTAGTGACAGGTAAGCAAATTATAGCTCCCATCTTATTGGGAGAATGACCTAGTGAAAGAAATATTGTGGTAAATCTAACCCATTTCTTCCCCTCCCCTTCCTGCTTAGTGCAGGAAATTCACAGCTGTGGCCTTCTCCAGGAGATGGTTGTTTCAGTAATTGATTGAAAATCTCACACAATGAAAAGAAACTACATACTGCTAAGGTTCTTTTGATGTTCAATCAAAATTTACCTTTTTAAAGCTTACTGTTCCTGAGACTTAATCTTATCTTCCAGGATAACATTTGATTTATTTATTTATACAATTTATATAGCCACCAATGTCACAGCAGTGACTCTAGGCAGTTAACAGAGGATTAAAACGAAAAACAGCAACACAATCTATATTAAAAAAAAGATTACTATAACATGCACAAGGTTGAAAAATAATTCCACTTTTTTTTAAATTTGAAATGTTTTTATGATAGATATATATATATATATAAAGGAAATAAATAATAGAAGTAAAAATTTAAAAATTTAAAAATGATAATACAAAGAACTAAATATATGTGAAATCTGAAATAGCATAGCTAATATATTCTAATACCTCATTAAAAGTTTATAATACTATAAGGCTTTTCATTTTCTAATCTATATTTGTCACTATAGAACTTTAAACAAAAGGTACTTGGTTAACAAAATTAAAAAAGAGAAACTATAGATGATAAATCTGTGTGGTGATAAATCTATGTGGTATCTATGGTGGTTGCTAGGAGTTGAAAATGACTTGATGGCGCATAATCATAGGTGATAAACAGTACAGTAGGACAATACTGTAGATTATATGTTTATAATATGTTTATAGATTCCAAAACCCAAATTTTCGATGTGGCACAATTCCATGTATAAAATTGTAATCCTTTTTAAATATGAAGTCATTCTAGACATTGAGGCACACTCCCACAATTTGATTAGCCATTCTGCCAATGCAGGGATCAAAGATATTTTTTAATAAAAAGGCATATAGACTCCTTGCAGCTGTTAACATATACAGTGCCAATTTAGTATATTTTTAAGGAGTATATGGCTTAGTGAAACTAATTGAAATGTCTCAGAATAGAATGGGAATATAGCTTTCAGAATTTGTTCCATTCAATGATAAACAATTTTCTGATACTGTTGAGCTTTACAGCATTGTGACCATCTATGTAAAGAGGCTCCAACCTGTTCATGTCAGCTCCACTATGTAGACCAGACTAGGAAATCAGCTCCACAGGAAGACTAGAACTACCTTTATCGAGATTGGCCATGATAACAGAATCTTGAAAGTCAGATTGTGCAGTACCTGCCCTGCTCTTAAACCCCAATGAATTGGGGAGGCGTCCACCTAAGCCACTTCTGAATATTACCTTGTTTCCCAGGGCTTAAAAAATGTTTCAGCCCCCTTTGTCTTGGTAACAGTTCTTGCATAATTTTGTGAAGGTCA